AGCAGTAACAGTAACAGTAACAGTAACAGTAGTCGCCGTCGTCGATTAGAAGTAGCAATAGAGCAGTAGAGTTAATGACGAAACAAAAGCACGACATTGACAGCAGTCGTTCTGGCTCTAGTCCTTCTAGCAGCGGCTGAAACGGCAACTGGAATCATTCGGACCAGAGCATCTTTCCAGGACAGGCGGCTGGATCAGAGGAACTTCTGCTACGGCTACACGACTCAGAATTCGTCGAGGTATCGAACGCTGGGTTGGAAAATCTCTTTGTTCGGCTGCACAAGGGGAGAATTATTCCAGGTACCGCAAGCCCCAAAACCCCGCGCCCACGATTGAGGATGCATTCTCGACCTGCGTGACAGCATATAATGCAAAGCGGAGTATATTCAGAAATCTCCTGCAGGCTTCGAAGTCTGCACGGGGCGTCCCGGTTAGAGGCGGGGGGCTGAGGCTTTAGGCTCTAATATGTGGGAAGTTGCAGTGCTGCTTGTTCCAGACCAGGAGCCTGTGCATCACCCCGGGCCCGGGTTAATCGCTCACTATCAAAACAAGATTTGGGTTTAGTGAAAAGGGTTGTCAAAACCCACATAGCAAATGTCCACAACCTTGTGTCCCAAGTTCCGAAGGCTCTTCGCGGACGACGCAACTACGCAGGGAGAAAAACCCATGAGTTGGGGCATATGCAGTGCCCTGAGACTTGACGGCCTCTGGGACATTGCTCGGTGCATCCAGTTGCTGGAAGTCCTGGCTGAAGAGCAATCCCCCTCAACAAAGCATTTTAAGCTTCTAAAGGCGTTGCAAATCCGGAAGCACCTCTGATCTTAGCACCTGCATCCCGCCGCATGAGCACTAAGAGGCTTGTCCAGAATGGCGTGATGCGGCCCAGCAGTAGTGCATTCCCAGTTCTGGGAAAGGTCCCTGCGCAGGCCCTACTTTTCAATAGGTCTGAACGGAATACTGGTACAGTCGCCAACGAACTGGAACATCAAGCGCTGATAAGAAGGGTTCCCCCGAAAAGACATCTGATTTCAAAGCCCTAAAGCTCGAAATTTTAAGGCCCTATATCCCTCTGAACCGTGAACTCAGAAGCCACGTGCCGTTAAAAGTCCGTACGGCCAGGAAACTTGGAAGCAGGGTTCTTAAACCCAAAACCCTACCCCCACAGTAGTCTGCCAGATTTATGTTGGAACCCTAATCCCTAATTACCCGTAGGCCCCATAGTAGTTCCTTTTTGGGGATTACCTAATAGTTTCCTAAATACAAACCACAAAAAGGAACTACTGTGGGGCCTATGGGTACCCGATATAAAACCTTCTGTCCTTGACCTCAGAGCCCTGGAGCTCGGCCACGCGCGCCTTCACTCGGCTTCAGGGTTTATGCCATGGTTTCGGGGCTTTTTGGCTTTTTTGTCAAGTTTATAGGGCTCTGAAGGCTCAGAAGAGTTCCATGCACTTGTTCGGATGTTTGCTTCCACAATTCCAGATAGTTTTGAGACTTCAGGCAGCAGGGTTGTACAGCTTTTACAGCGTAACCAAGCTACTCGGGGTTTACACCGAGACTTCATCGAGTTCATGGTGCATGCATCTCAAGCTTATGACACTGCGAGGGTTTCGGAAGTTCGAGGTTTGGGCTCAGCCGGCCAGCCGGAAGTCAAAGCGACAAAGCGCATGCTTTCTGGGGTCTTAGGGTATGCACAGGAGGGCAGTGCCCCCGGTGTCTGCCAACAAACGTCCAAAAAACGGGTTTCGGGCTCAGGGCAGCAACCCGACCACGGCGCAAGCGCATCATGCTTGAGCACATCAAAAACTCACCGATGCCAGGACGCGCTGAATCCCTCAACTGGGTCGAAGCATTGAGGCTGCTCTGCAAACCAAACCTTACCCCGAATCGCAAGGGACGTTCGTTCGCGGTGCCTGAAGCTCGCGGATCACCTCATGTTGCGTCGCGATCTGTCCTGGGCTGCCAAGGCAATAGAAGAAATTAGGATGCAAAGGGCTTGGTGTGATCGATACGCTTCTAACCTTTACATCTACACAACTATCAACTTCGAGCCTTTCTCTCCCTCCGGCTTACACAAGTCCATCTGTCGAATGTGAACCGCATTTCTGTTCACCCGACTTTTTCCACCCAGCTTCGCACTAGCGACCGGTAAACTTGACAAACGTGTCGGAAGCACCAGTGGCAAAACTAAGGTACATCCTGACAGATGTAGCCTTGGATGCTGGTATTTTGTGGTGTACACTGTGGTGTCCCCGATGATAGGAGCATGCAGAAAAAAGCACTGGATGTGTAGTGTAGCTGTATGCCTTGTGCACCCTAAATTGCTCATGTCCGGTGTTCACATTGCTGCAGAGATGAAGCCAAGTGTCTTTCATGTGTGTGGAGCATGGCGGATGTACCTCAGCGTCTCGGGCTATTTCAGCTAGATATCAGAGCCAGCTGGAAAAGCCCACACGCTTGGGCAAATATAATTTAAAATACCAATGTAGCATATATGATTCTGGGGGGTCTCTGGGGTTTGATCTTTGGCTTCGTTTTTTATTAGTCTCGAAGGCTCGCCCTTTGAGCCTTGCTTGAAACTCTCGCCCAATATGTGAGCCACAATGTTGTGCTCTCTGGATCAGGCGAGGGGACTTCGCGGAGGGGGGTTGCCTGCCTGCTTGCCTGGCGGTTTTGCGGTAGTTTAGAAATAAAAATATTCACGGGAAAGACAAAGGCTTTGTTGTCTAGGCACTCCCAGTGTATGAGTTTGCTGAAAGCATGGCTTTAAAGAGCCGTAGCTGGGATTCGGTCGAGGTTGGTGGCACCCTTTAATTTGGCGGAGCTGCACTTCGAGCTATGATGACACTCTCCTACAGGTTGCACGCCGGATCTCCGAAAGGGCCTTTGGGTACCATACCACAGAACCTGCATCCTGAATCAACAAGCCCATCCGCATGCGGCCAAGAATACGTGCCATAAACTCCTCCACGTCGTCCTTCCTGCTCTCACACCAACTAAACCCCCAAACTAAACTGTAAACCCTAAACCAAACCCCTAGACCCTAACCCCTAAACCCTAAACTCCTAAACCCGTAAACTCCTAAACCCCTAAACTCCTAAACCCCTAAACTCCTAAACCCTATAAACTGAGGGGCTATTTGCTTGGCAACTGAGGAACAAGGCTTAGGGTTCCCGAGGTCGCCTCTTCTTAAGATGTGTGCTGTTTAAGTTTTTAGGGTTTAGAATTTTGGGGTTTTTAGGGAAAATATCGGGTTTAGTGTTTAGGAGTTTTTTTGGGGGGGGTTTTAGGGTTAAGTTACCATAATGAAACCGTAGGAATTACACATCACCATGTGGAATAAGGAAACCGTACTATCTACGTTCAGATCCCTGTTGCCGTAGCTTAGACTGATGTTTCTTAAAAACAGAACCCAGTTTTGGGTGGAAGGCCCTGGCTAGGCTAGCTCAAAACAAGATCGTAAGTGGCTGGTGGGGAGCTTAGTGTCAAGTTCAAGGGGAGCCAAATGTCATGGTTCCACGGCTTGACGCCCTACACTTCGTAGCGTAGTCCTGATACAAAAGGTAAGGGAACGACCCTGGCCTTGTCGGAAAGTCCATGCCGAGGGGGTGCGCCATGGGCACGATGTGCAAGAACGCCGTGTTGGCGCGGGAGTGCAAGTTCCGCGGGCTTCAGAGCTGCATGCAATGCCTTGCTGTGCTACCAGTTCCCGCACACCTTCTCAAGCTTCATGGGGAGCAGCCAAAGCTCGAGGATGGGGCATTAACCGCAAGCTGCATGCTGTGACTTTTTTTGAGCCAAACCGTGCATGAGACATGCCGACAAGCCCGCTGTAAACCGCAGGCACCATCTGGACTGGATTCCCGGTGTGTCGAAGCAGCCTTGTAAAAATGACCATGACGGTCATCCCAAGTCGTGAACTGCTGGACAAATAATACTGCCTTGACACAACCCTAAACAAAGAAAGTGGCCGAAACTGTCGCAACTCTGGCCACCCGTCACCTGCATGTCTTGCAGCTCCTCCTTCACCTGGGCCGGGGTTCTTCAAAAAGTCAGAAAGGCAGAAACGGGTGAGCGTGCCAACGACAAAACGGAAGTCACACCGACATGATGCGAACAGAAAGAGAAAGATCAAACCCTCGAATAACTAAACAACTACAACTACACTCACCAGTCAATACCGAAACTGACCAATAAGCTACTTTGAGCATGTAAATTCGCAACCCGACAACAATCTTCCCAAAGACCTGAGGGCGTTCCTGGACCTCGGGGAACCTGCAGCTTGTTTCCTATACTGCATTTGAGGGTTATGGCCTACGCGTCTGGGATGTCGCCCCGGGGAGATCATAAGGAATATACGCGAAGTTGGGCAAACCTGAATAACATTCTTCCATCAAGGACCCAGAGGACCACTGCTAACATCAGCCACCTGCTGGCGCTTGCGCTGCGCTGCGGCCAGATCCTGTCGCCAGTCTGCCATTTATTCTCCGGGCTAATCACAGCTCACGGCTTAAGTTGTTACGTTGAAAGCCCTTTGGTCTGCATGTGTCCGTATATCAAATGCTTGAGGTACGTGGAAAACTTCGCTTGCTCGCCGGCTCGCTTGCACTGCTTTGAGAGTCCCTCGTATCTTGTTGCGATTTCGGATCATGCGGAACTCCCAAAGCATGTGCATAGTCGGAGGAGTGCTCGAACTTCTATCGGGAAGCTTCCCAAGCAGCCTAAAGAACACAACACACCAGCTTAGTGAATCGACAGCTTTGGGTGAGTTTGTCACGTCACAACAGGGCGCCATTGTAGGATTCTGGTTCGAGCCTCGGGAACTCTAAGGGCAAAAAAGCAAGTACATACACGCGCCCAAACGACCGAAGCTCACACCAAAACACTGAACTCAGGCCTAAGATTGTTACAGCCACTCACAGATACCAGAGTCCATGATATACCACAAATATATAGTCTAATGACACATAGTATCGTATAACAGACTAGGTAGAATTGAATCAAAGCTTCTCGAGGTCCGTGTCCCGCCTGCTTCAGCTGGTCCAGCCTCCGACTGTGCACGTCAATCTCCTGCCGTGCGACTGGATTCGCCTGAGAGGTGCGCGCAGTGGATGACCATACCGTAGGGGCCTCAGTAATTAGAATAGGGTTTTGGGAGCTCCTTGTTGTAATTCTAGTATAATATACCCCAAACCCTGATCTAATTATTAAGGCCCCTATATTACTTGGAGGTTCGTGGGTAGTTATAAGTGGGAGTTCTATAAGTCCCTTGAGGTGGTGCACACTTCCAGTTCAACCATTGAAGAGTCAGAAGAATGCCGGATTAAGGCAGCAAGTTATGTTCCGAATGTCAAGGCCGAGGATTGCGACAGAAGGTCGGAACCATGACACAATCATGGCGATGCGAAGCCTTGCTGTGTCCGGGTATTACCGGGAAAAGTTTATGCCACCGTGTCTGGTTTTGTCTTGTTTTATGGCGCTCGCATATACGGGGCCAGGGAGCTACAGTTTCCAGAGAGTTAATTCTAATTCCAAAGTCAAAAGGCTGCAGAGGCGGAGGCAGGACACTAAACCATGAACCTCTGTTCACAAACACACCTTTAACACCCTATTTACACCCAGTACACCCTTAACCCGAAAGCCCCAAATTGTCTCCAGCTTTCAGCGCCGGGCCTCCGGAGAGGGCTCCGACATCAAGGACTCGAGCCGACTCGCCTCCTGCTTCCACGAGACCTTGGAGCTTGGTGACGCGAGGGGTTTGATTACAATAGTAGTTAGACAGTATAGTGACTGTAACAATGAAGGGTATAGCAAGAATAACAACGAGAAGACAATAATGACAGTAGTAACGGCGGCACAATGGAACTATTTGCTGCGCCCTGAAATGCCTTGAATAAAGACAGCTAACGCAGCACCCAGCACGATCCATGTGAACCCTTAATTCTCGTCATGACCTGATTGATTCTGTCAGTGAATCTCCCATCGCAGTGCCACTCAGCACCCAGGCAAGCCACATACTCAATCTGCAGCTCGATGACGCGTGTGAAGAAGGGATCGCGCTTCCTGTGCTGCTTAGACAGGCGTCTCTTTACACGCCAGAGGCTTCAGATTAGAGTTTAGGGTTTTCACGACAAACCTAAAGTCTCCATTGTAGTTCCTTTTTGGGGATACCTTTTAAATTCCTTAATATATAATTGGTTAAACCAAAAAAAAGAACTACAATGGAGACTATAGGTAGAGCAGATCGAGGGGGTTCTTGTTGCCTCGCCCATCGGCTGGTCCGGCCCGCTATAGGCAGGCAAATGCAAGACACTCGTAAGGACGAATGCAAGACACGTGCACTGCGAAATCTCAGGCTGGCAGCCATGCTGAGCGACTTCAGCTAGCTAGAAGCTTGCCTGAGCAAAGCGTCGAAGCAAGTGCAACTCACTGCAACTGACGGGCGGGAAACCCCACCAGTACCTCCGAAGCTCAGGAGCATCCATTGTTGAATTGTGCGTCTCCGTTCTCCTTGTCATAGTTTGCGCCGTTGCCTGGCTCGAGTTTCTGGTAAATGCGCCACTTCTTTGCTCCGTTTTTGGAGCAGCGCCGCCGCCGTCGTCCACCGTCGTAGCCACGGACGAAGACCTTCTGAGCCAGCCGGCGCCTGCCTTGGTCCAGCGTCTCGCCTGCGCCAGAGCTTTGAAAGCAGACCTGTCCGTACGGACCAGTGACGTCCTGAAGGAAAATCTTGAATCTTTCTGTGTCAGTCTTTGAGATGCCGACGGATGAAGCAGACTCGCTCTCGGTGGTGAAGTACATGTGTTGATCGTGCAGTTGCAGGCACTTGGGGTTGTTGTCCGGATCATCAATGTCGGCAAAGTACATGTTGTGCAAGAACTCGTTGCAAAGCTTGCGATCTTTGGTGTACCACCAGTACTGCTTCATCTGCTCTGAGTAACTGCTAGAGGTGTGAGTGCAGTCGCGAAAGGCAGGAATACAAGTCCCACGGTAAAAGTACACCTTGCCATCGTCATCTGGCTCGTAGCAATCCGGGGATGCTTGCAGGCACTTCTCCTGTTCATCCTTGATGACATACTCGGTGCCATCTCCGCAGCTGCTAGGTGTGCCACCAGACTTTCCGCATGTGCCTCCGAGCATATTGCTGAGCTTGCACTTCACCTTGTTTACGACCTTCTTGCCTTTGTTTACAACACTCTTGGCAAATTTCATGCCTGTGCCGCCTACCTGATCCGAATAAAACTCCGCAATTTCCTGCGCGCCATTGCCGGCGAAGTCATCGATCTTGTTCAACACAAACTTGCCAGCACTGAGGAAGAGTTCAGCCCAACCCAGTCGTGCTTTGCACCTGAGCCTTTGATTGCTGAATTTGAAGATGCACTTGATGGAAGTCGCCGATCCTCCAATGTTCACCTCCGAATCGAATCCGACCGCAGCAGTGTTCAGGAAGAAGCCGATGCCCATCTGCCCAGACAGTGAAATGCCGGAGTCGACGTCAACACCCGCAACATCCAACAAGCCACCAACTTGCCCCAAGGTTTTCTCAATGATGGATTTCACAAAGTCACCCATGTCCGCTGAGAGGAAGAAGTAGAGCCCGGGAAGGTGGGAGGTTGCAAGGCTGTCGTCAACATGCTCTTCTTCCATAGGGCATGCGCATAGAGGTGCATGATGTGCATAGTTGTTTGTGTCACAGTTAATGATGCTCGCAGCTGCCGGGTATCACGGGGGTACAATCGTCCGCTGCCGTGGCCTTTGAGAAGGGCGTTCCCGCATAGTTCCTTGCTTCATGGAAACTCCGGCAGGTGTACCCCGCACTCAGAAAGGCTTCAGCCACCTTCTCATTTGTCGTAAGTTCGGCCATCTGGGTCTTGTCACACTCGCCATAACCGCGGGCTGCACACACAGCATTGCATACTTGACCATTTTCGCCTCTTACCCAAACAGTTTTTTGGATGGTACTCGTGGACGCAGGGCCAGTCCGTAACATCATGGAAGTCGAAAACAGCTGGAAGGACAGATCAGGCAAAATGCCAGTCGTCGGGCCTGAGAGGGCGAGGGTGACGTAGCCGTTGAGCACATACATGAAGGTGGAGCGCTGCATCTCCTCGATGAGCTCGACCACATCACTATTCGCTCCAGCCTGGCGGAGGATCGTGGCCGCCATCGATGGGCCCACGCGCATGGCAGACGCAAAACCGGCCAAGAGATCGGGCAAAGTCTCGGTGACACTGGCAGAAGCGATGGCCCTCAGCGGAGTCTCGAGGTCTCCATCGTAAGCCAGGAGTGCCTGGGCCTGGAGATCCCCCGCCAGGATGTCGCCCAGCGTGTCGTCACAGCCCAAGACTTGGCCAACAGAGATCCTCAGGGTGGCGCTGAGCCCAAGCTGACCGGCCATGGTGATGTCCTGGACCCGGATGTCATCTCCATCGCCGTGAGCCAGATGCACCGTCTTCGAGAACTTCTTGTCTAAAGAGACGCCGAAAGTAAACTCAGGCAAGAAGCCCACAGCACGACTTAAAACTGGCGCCAACTTGTCAACGAAGCACTCGAAGGTGTCGGGGCTGATGGAGAGCATAAAGTTCACCTTCGTCGTGCCACACTTGTTGAAGGCAAA